CCGGATTTCCAAATACGCTGGGAATGAAAAGTTGTGAAAAATAAATAACCACTATTTGATTAATTACCCATTCTGTTTCTATTCAGGTTGCCTTTCGCATAACATGTGGGCGTTCACGTTTAAATAGACTTTAGTTTTAAATCCTAACCACGAAACTAATGGCTTCTAATCAAAATACTAACGAGCACATTTAATGTCGAGTCCAAGTGTGGTGTGCTATGTATGACTTTCGTTATTTCAATCTGTTTGCACCTTTCGAAATACCATAACATAGATTTCTAATTGTTAATTGCAAGGTCAATATTCTCCATTCATTTGTTATGCAATACATGTCAATTCCACCGTTGTTGATGTACCTCAATTCACAATGGTGTTAGTTTCTATTGATAATGTGCTGGACTACGGAGCGCACGGCTCTAGCTCGGATCCTCAAGGGGCTGATCTTGGCATCGTTTGTGGACTTTTTAAGGCTTGTCATCCAGTTGACCTGATCCTATCGGATATGGACATAAAATTCGTCGGTCCTGCCTTAAATAACCTTACAGTATTGGAAGTAGCGATAAATCTCTAACCGACATCGCCGATAGCGGCGCTTGTTGTCTACCGGTAGCAGTTCTAATACCGCCGTATGTCAATTTGAGCCTGTGTGTCTGTTGGGGTGCTGTATCTCTTTCACCTCGGCTTTGCCCTGACAAGCAAGGTTCAGAGCAGCTTGCCCCAAAATGATCTATTCTTTGTCAACAGTTGAGAGAGGACGCTATTTTTATTGAGTATATCTGTCTGTCAGTTGGGGTGCTGTATTTCTCTCGTCCCGGATCTGCTCTGACTATTTTAAAGTAGGTGATTTTACGCCTCTATTGAAACGATTTACTTCATATTTTTTATAGGCGGGCCTTCGAACCTGCCTGTCAGGAATACTTGGAACTGAACATCCAAGCGGAAAGACCCAGATACGAAATAAAATGTTCTTTTCACTCGGGAACTGAAGTTTGGGCTGCTGCGTGAGACATGTCTGAAAATCAGGATTCCGAGCAGCCAGCTTATAAAATTATCCATATTGTGTCAACGGGGAGTAAAACATTAACAATTTTAACTCTCTCTCTCTCTCTCTCTCTCTCTCTCTCTCTCTCTCTCTCTCGCTCTCTCTCTCTCTTTCTCGCTCTCTCGCTCTCTCGTTCTCTCACGGAAGTGTCTTGTAAGATAGAAATAGAAGGGGTGGAATAAACGGTTGGAGATTTAAAACTCGTAATAAAACCATAATAGACCAGGAGAAGTCTTTTGACAGAGTAAACTATGCAAAACTCTGGAAGACCCTCGAAAAGTATGGCGTTAGAGGATAAATGTTAGATAATGTCAGAGCTCTATACACCAACAGCAGAAGCTTAGTAAGAATGAAGGAAGGCAATACAGACTGGTTCAAAGTAAGATCTGGAATACGACAGTGATGTGTTCTATTTCCCCTCGTGTTTATAATATATATGGAAACAATAATACACGACGCAAACCAAAGCCCAGAAAGCCTAAATGAACGTCTATTCGAAGACGACCAATGTCTTATTCACGCAAACCAATAAAACCTCCAAAATCACACTACCCAACTGAACAACAGCTGAAAGAAATTGAACATGACAATAAGCACATCAAAAACATAAGTTATAAAAATGAGCCGAAACCGTAGTCCCCTAAACACCCATATCAATAGAAAACAACTGAAACAGGTGAAGGAGTTTGAGTATCTTGGCAGTACTTTTTCAGAAAACAGGTCCCTAGACAGAAAAATAGAAATGCAATCTCAAAACGCTAACGTCAACGTTGTCACCTACCAGCTTATCTAAACATCTCCATGGACACAAATCATACCGACATTATGCTACAAGTGCCACACATGGACACTAAATAAAACCCATGAAAGCAAAATCACCGCAAGCGAAATGAAATGTCTTGGCAAAACCCTTAACATCACAAGACGAGACAGGTAGAAAAATGAAGAAGTAAGAGCAGCTATCGGAATTGAGTCCTGCCTACATTACATAAAAAGACAGAGAATTAAAATTAAAATGGTTTGGCCATCTGTTACGTATGTCACCTGGCCAGCCAGCCTCGAGAGTCTACAACACCAAGCACTCAGGCTATAAGAGGCTAAGTGAGTAGTGAGTTTAGAATAAAGTAATGTCAAGCAAGTGTCGGTGACATAGGAATCAGAAGGGTGGTCTCTTGGGAGTGTCCTGGAGCAAAACACGACAACCCTAGCTCAAAATACAGAGCGCTGCACAGTGGCGACCGACAGGGGCATGGTTGTAAACTGTTCTGTATTTGTGTAATATTGTGAATTTATGTATGTATTTATGTAAGTATTTATGCATGTATTTATGTGTGTACCTATTTATAATTAGTTACTTATGTATGTATAAGTATGTTTGCCATTGTAAACCAAATTTCCCTTCTGTGGAAAATAAAAGTGTAATTAATTTATTTATTAATATTTATTTCTATTTATTTGTAAACGAAAAGGAAGGCCACGAAAAAGGTGGGTCGAGGATGTCAAGGAAACCCTGAGAAAACATAATATCACAACTGAAAGAGCTGCGGATCTGGCCTACCATAGAAAACTGCATCTCCCCTCGACGCTTAACGGCAACATAGGATGAAAAAGTAAAGTAAAATAAGTAATAAAATGGAGACTTTTTGTGGGGCATGCGACAGGGATACACTGGTATGTTTTATCTAATTGTCTCGTTTTAGTAAGAGTTTCACAGCACTTGAAACACAACTAGGACATGAAATTGCAAAAGATTAGAGGTGTTACAAGAGAGTAACAATCACAAAGAAGACATGGAGAATACGATGATAGGTGTTTGATTAGAAAGAAGGAGTAAACCACACCAGGGCATCCTCCAAACTCCCACGATCTGTCTGTCTGTCATTTGAAGGGCACGAAGTGCGCGTCTCTGAAAGAACAGAACCAACCGTCGGTGGTTAGGCTATTGGTCTTTCAATAGAAAGGTCATGGATTCGAGCCCTTCAGGAGCCTAACTTTGTGAGTCCTTGGAAAAGGTACTTTACAGAAAATATACTTGCGCTAAATTAATTCAATTATTGAATATTAATTAAATTTGTCGATAGCAGTACGTGAAATCCTCTCAAACAATACAAATTAAAAACTTCACCTTCCGATGATTTTAATTTTCACCTCTTTCCTGCTAACAGAGGACCGCAATGAGAAGAAAAGGGACATGGTTAACATGTTTCCATAAAGGTTCGCTGTCCAGTAAGAGTAAATTTCGATTCCAATGTCGTGGTGTAGCGGGAAGCGCTTCGCTGTTGCACGCTGGAAACCAGAGTTCGATTCCCGAGTGAGGACACATTTTTTAAATTGAGCATCTCGGTCTTTTTGCTGGTTTGCCGTCGCCCTCTCAGCCTCGGCCTGCCCTCATACACTGGGTCGGAAGCCCACGTCCAAAATGATCTAAAGTGTGTCGATAGGGGTGTAAATCACCTACATAAAAATCGTCCTCATCCCCTTCTTAAAATACGTTAACAGCTTATATCGGTTTTTCTGCTGTGACCTAAATTCCTCTCGGCCCGGGTTGACCCGAGTCGTAATTAATTATCTAAAATGTGTCTGTGAGAAGGAAAAATACCTACATTTAAGTTCAAACAGCTTCTTTCATATAAGTCGTCACCACGACTTACACATGGCCTCACAGAAAGTAAAGCACACGTATATGGCGGATAGGGGGGTCGGGTAAGTTTTGAATAGCAGACTCAAGTTTAAGTTTACTAAGTTCCTCTCCTGAGTTGCCCTAGTCGCTATCTCAGAATTACTACGTTCTATCTGCTCAGTACCTAATTCTGAGATACTTTACGTCAAAGATTTTGAGTTTCACATCATGTCAAGCATTTTCGAATGCTATTCTTTGAATATCTTGACAATGACTCCGAATAATATTACGATTTTGATAGAGTAGATAAAACATTTGGTTTTTAATCTTGTGGCCAGAGTAACTCAAAACGGCCACAAAAAATGCTTGAAAGTACTTTGGAATTCTGAAGTAGCGTAGTTACGATGAACTGATACCCTTGTCCATCGGACAGGGCCACACTACAAGGTCAGTACTCCTGCCCAGGAAGCAGTGTAGTTTCAATCAAATGTGTCGTAATGTGGTGGAATCAGGAGCACGTCAATTTTAGGGCACGTGGAGCTATTGATATTAACATAATTCGTTTATCTTGCTTTCGTTAAAAGAAATACCCGTCTATCTTCAATAGACCTTCATCGCTATATTAATTTCTGATTGAAGGAGTTACGGCTCACCTAGTTTTACAGGTAAAATTAGTGAGAAAACTGCCGCCAAAGTTGGTGACTTCCAAAGCTTGAGAGTCCTTAGAAACCGTAAACTGATTTTTTGTGTGCCATTAATCAACATGTTTCAAGGAAAATCCGCATTGCAGAGCAGTTGTTTTAAAAGAACATTACAAATGTTGAGCCAAATATAACAAATTCTAGGAAAATTGCCAAACGGGAAGAAAAATGCAGTTTTCCTCGATTTCATTACTTTGACGAGCGCCTGATTTCACCACGGTGCCTCACAAATTGTTTTTCTTACATCTAATCTGCCATGGTTGGATTACAAGACTTTCGTAACTGTGAGATTACGGGTTCGGGGATTGGAAAGCCATTGCAGTCCAACGTTTAGTCCTTAAGAAAGGCACTTCCCATCAATGTTCCCATTTTGTTCTGTTCGATTTGAAATTGTTATTTACAGTTTGCAGCCTTCCACCCCCTCCCCCTATCCCCTCCCATGTTCTATTAATCTCACAATGTTGCAAGGGAGGGGCATTAAACCCATTCACTTTCGCACATCTGGGGCGTGTTTATCTCGAATTTTGCCGGGACCTCGCTACCGCCACAAAACAGCCTGTTATTAAATCATTGTAAACCAACATAAAAAAGTAATTAAAACAATGACTTAAAACGAGAAAAACAAAAACAAATAAATAGGTCATTCGTTTTCTGTAATAATACTTTTTTATGAAACAAATTTCAACCCGAGTTTAAAATCTCTAAAACTTCACACAGCGTGTACTAGATATAATCTTGTAGTTTATTTTTGTTTTCATCATCTGTAGAAAAAAATGAGAAACCAACCAGCACAGAATGAATTGTTAAAACTAGACTATAGATTAAAGCAACCTAGAAAATGTTGGAGCATTAACTGTAGTGTGCTCATGATGTCCTCAACACCTCACAAAATACGCGGTCATTGACGCTCCCTTGCACGAGTGTACCTGTGGACACATTAAAGAAATTAAGAAACATCAAATTGTCATAGGAAACAAGAAAAAAAAGTACTGAAAAGTTACATCAAGCCAATCCTATTATACGGGTGCGAAGAATTGACAATCAATAGACAGTTGGAAAGAACAATTTAAGCGATAGAATTGGACACATGCTCCGTATCTCACGGACAGCTAGAAAAACGAAAAGAAGAAGTCTTGGTTGAAGTAAATTACAGAAAACAGCTTATGGCGAATATACGAAAGCAACAGGCAAATTTCATTGGACACACACAGCGGAAGGAAGAATGGGAGAATATTGTAATAACAGGCAAGTTTGATGTAAAGAGGCAGATGCAGACACAGGGAAAAGATACTGGACAGGTTGACAACATGGCTAAAAACAGCAAGAACAATAGACACCATCGCTGCAACTCAGGACGTATTGAAGTTAAGGTCCATGATCGCCCACGCCAAGTAGTAGTAGTAGTTGTAGTAGTAGTAGTAGTAGTAGTAGTAGTAGTAGTAGTAGTAGTAGTAGTAGTAGGAGTAGGAGTAGGAGTAGTAGGAGTAGTAGTAGTAGTAGTAGTAGTAGGAGGAGGAGGAGGAGGAGGAGGAGGAGGAGGAGTAACAGTAACAATATTAGTAGTTTGTTCTTAACGCTGTAAGTCATTGTGCTCATCACTATCAAACAATAAGCTCGTATTTTTCTGCCTCCTGTTTCCAATTTCTCTTGCTCTGTTCACGGAATTATTTGTCATCTGTGATTATGATTTGAGTCATGACGCGATGGAATTAGGTGCTCTTCATTTTTTGGCTATATTGTGGAGTTATTGGTACCAATTTAAAGCCTGTACATTTGCCTTCCTTTTGATGAAAAAAGTACTCATCGATTTTGAATAGAAGTCGAGATATTCGCAAGTCTAAGAAGTGGGGATTGCCTGGAGTCTGATGCAAAATTAACGAGAAAATGGCAGCCTGTTGTATGTTTTCCGGCTCTGAAATTTGGAGTACCAAAACTTGGGACGCGGTTGACAATGTTCAGGTAAATTGTGGAAAGCCTTTCTGGGTCTTGGCCAAGGTATACTCAAGTGTTTGGTTCTGAGAGAAATAGGAAGAACGTGCTCTGATTATATGCTTTGTGTCATTAAATTCTGTTGGAAACGTATACACTTAGAAAATGGCAGATATCCAAAGAAATGTTACATGCGTTTGTATCGTTCCTATGAACTGGGCAGAGTCACCTGGGCTACTGACGTTAAAAACCTATTATTTTCCCTGGGGTTTGGATATGCCTGGTTTTCTCAAAGTGTTGGAAGCACTAAATTATTTCTCAGTGAAATAGAAAGTAGGCTTGTTGATCATTGTGTGCAGAACATAGAGGAAGAAATATGTTGCAAGTATAAGTTATTATCTCTTACAATTCCGTTTTAAGAAATAGCCGGGTATATCATCAACATCCCACGATGTTGGAATAGAGTCATAGCCTTGTTAAAAACACACATCATTCCATTAAATAACAATCTTCATCGGTGGAAATGAATAAATTTCTCCTTATGAGAGAGGTGTAACTCTCATGAAATTGAAGAAGAATTTTGCTTTAAAGTTTATTGTCCTAATTTTGTCATCAAAGGAATTTGTTAATTCCTCCCAACCTGACTCGGCCTAGGGACAGACAATATGCAATGTTTGACCTATAATAAGAGATATCAACACAATGTGTACTTTTTCATTACGGAAACTGTATTTTTAACAATTGAATGTGTTATATTATGTGATGTGGACAATGGCCTTAAACACTGCATAAACTTACTTACTCCCTTAAACAGGAATGTATTTTGAAATGGACCTAAAATGTGCCCAAAAGATAAACAACATGGACAGAAATTGCGATTTCTACGATTTCATTATTTTGGCAAGTCCCTGATTCCACCGTGTCGTGACACACTTTAATGATCTTCCAAAGCTACTGCCGGTTGACGATAAGTTCAGGTGAGCCTGGGCCGCATCGCGTATTCCACAAACAAACGTTTATAAGTATTAACTCGTAGAATACGAAAGGTTATTCTACCTACTTTGTACGAGGCCATTTTTTCTTCATTTAAGTTTGCAGCACCAGAACATAGACTTCTTTTATCTACGTAAGAGAGGCCTATGTTCTCTACGTAAGAGAGGCCTATGTTCTCTACGTAAGAGAGGCCTATGTTCTCTACGTAAGAGAGGCCTATGTTCTCTACGTAAGAGAGGCCTGTGTTCTCTACGTAAGAGAGGCATATGTTCTGACAAACTGCTAGAGTTCAGAACTGCTATGAATAAAGGCTTACAAAATTACAAGGGTTGTACTTTCTTATCCTTGCAGCCAGAGACCTGTAGCGCTTTCTCTTAAACGTTGAAGTCAAGTAGGGGCGCAAATTATCGTCCTGTCCTGCAAACCTCAGTTGGCCCGAATTTAAGATGGACCTAAACTGTGTTGGGCCTAAAAGATAGATACAGATAAAAATTGCCTTATGGGCGGGAAGATGTCGGCTCGATCAGTTCGAAAAAGGGATTACAACTTACCGCTTTCATTGTGTTGCCTTCGACGACTCTGCTCACGTTAACCACCAATCCGGTTTCATGCATGGTCATTTTCTCCGTGCTCTTGTTGCCGTCCATGTTCATGGTGACCTAGACATTAGAAAAATGTATAAATGTTGAAAAGATTTAGTATTTTAGTCAGACTCTTAATGCTCTTGCCACACAATTAGTTTATAATATATGTGTCGAAGATTAGTGGCGTTTACAAGAGAGTAACAAATTCAAAAAAGAAGGGGGAGAGATAATGACGATATATAATTGATAATAAAGGAGAAAAATACACCAGAGCATACACCAACCACCCACTGTAGAAAAGCCTGTGAGTTGAGTTTTTACAATGTGCAATTCTTGTGCATTATCCCACCCTCGTAGACAGAGGCGTATCTTTCAAGCTATAATCTCAGCAATCCCCCCCCCCCTTTTGCCTTTTCCCATAGGGTACAGCATCGCAACCTGCTACGTGTTAATATTCACAGTATATTACTCCTTCGCATCTGGATGATTTGAGAATCGTATAGTATGCAACTGGGCCAATACTGTTACAATTGCGGGCTTCATATCTACAGGCTGCCCATGGGCACTGTAGTTGAGGTAAAAAAAAAAGTGTACTTTTTAAAATACAAAAGAGCGAAGAGGAGCTGCTATTGTTTAAAATGGTCTAGCAGAAAAAGATGCAAGTCTATGTCATAAACTGACAATAGCAGCAGTCTTCTAAAACCTCTTGCAGTCACCGGAAAATTCACGTGTGTCCGTACCTGCTTTTAGTAACGACACATGTGTCCTCAGCTGGATTGTTATCACACCTGTTCCTTCTCCTCTAATGAAGAGAGAAAGGTTAATCCCTCTCCCTCTTCAATCTGTCTACCTATCTGCATCTATCTATCTATCTATGTATCTATCTATCTATCTATCTATCTATCTATCTATCTATCTATCTATCTATCTATCTGTCTGTCTATCTATCTATCTAAAATTGCATCTGTCTATCTAACTAACGGTATACTTTTACCTTGTATTTTACTCCATCGAGATCTACGACCTCATAGTCCTGATTTTCTTTAACAGTATAGGTTTTGGGTGAAAGGCTGGGATCGTTCTCATCGCTCATCTCAAACGTCCAATTGTCGCCACTTTTTGAGATCTTGTAGGTATATTGCCTTTTCTTGAGCGCAGGCAACAAAGCGTCAGGAACCTCTATGAGAGGACAATAGAATACAGCAACAATGATGATGATGTTTCTGTTGCATCCGATATAACTTCTAAAAATAATGACGCAAATTAATGGAATTTGTGTTGTGTAAATTCCCGCTCAGCAGCAAGCTCTATGTGCTTTAGAATCTATATTACAGAATACAACAAAGAATACCAATAGATTTGATAGCATTCTGAAACAACCTCAACTTCTTGTGAAGCAAACAGTGCAAGCAGCCATTTTACAGGAGATAAGACACTTATATTCTGATATTATCTGTCACTGTCTATGGTGGGGTACCCATTTCTACCTGGGTGAAGTGAGGAGAATTGATGTAAAGTATCTTTCCCAAAGACACAATGTGTTGGGCCTGAGCCTCGATCCCCAGGCCTGCTACCTCACGATTACGAGTCCACCGTAGCTTAACCAATAGACTTTAACAGTGCTAACAATAAAGTAAGAGTCTCAAAATTATAATAAGACAAATAATAAGGTTTATAACAAGCCTATTAATAATAATGATAATAATAATAATAATAATAATAATAATAATAA